TAGTTAAATTTCAAAATCTGTAATTAAGGTTAGCTTTATTTTTTTGTATGGAATGAAATAAATATTTATAGAGACGATTTTTTTTTTTTGAACAAATGAATATAAGTAGCAGAGTAATTAAGGGCCTGTTTGGTGCAACTTGTTGGAGTTTTTATTTTTTTTATATTATTCATGAATGATAAGTTTAAATTTTTATTGTAAGAAAAATTTAAATATTATTTTTAGAGATAAAAAAAGTGAGTAAAAAGTGAATAAAATAAAAAATTATAAAAAATTTGAATTTAAAATTTTTAAATTTTTACTGTTTGAGATCTTTTTAAAATTAAAAAATATTTTAAAAATGTAAACTTTAAAAAAATAATTTACACTTATAAAATATAAATAACATAAAAAAAAATGAAGTTTCTAAAAACACTACCAAACAGTTTGTAAGGCTGCTGAAGCAGTTGGGCGGTGACAATAAAGCGTAACACACTTTCTAGACGACCGGTCCTAAAAAAAGTAATTAGAATTCAAAAGTATTTTTGCTGGTGATCATTGAAGTATATTCGGGAATTGGATTGGATAAGAATGAAGAATCTCGTGTTTTAGTCTGTGTACCAAATTTCTCCATATCTTAAAAATGTCTCAATCTCTTGAAAATAAATAATTGAGTACTACTTTTCTAATTCCATACTGCCAAAATATTCGTCATTGTAATTTCATGTCCTTTTGTTATCATTTCAGTTTTAATTGTAGTTTTTTTACTTGCAATTTGTCACCACAAATATTTTTCATTTTGATTTTGTTACACTTTGATTTTGTTACACTTTGATTTCCTATCAAAATTGTTCTATATATATATATATATAAACAATATGATTTTTTTTATCTATTCATTCACAGAATGGTTACAAATAGAATGCATTTACTCTAAAATTTGAGTCTTCAACAAAGAAGAAATTGAAAAATGAATAGTTTAAGATTTTTTTGCAATTATTAGGTAAAAGAGGATAAAATTAGAAAATAAAATATTAATAGTATTGTTTACAACCATTTTTGCAAAAAAATAAAATGGTGCCACGGGTCATCCATGTTGACAAGAATTTTATTGGTTAAAAGCAGTTGGAGTAAATCTCTTTAGATAAAGTTGACTGGTTATTTCCACAACTATAGCAAAGCCGTTCGTTTATTGCGAACTTTCAGGAGGATAATCGGCAACACAAACAAACTAATTGGTTTGTTTCAGATATCACGCTGCCATTGGTTTTTCAAGATTGCTGCTACAGATCTCTAAGCATGCTGCCAAGGGATGTTTATTACTATAAGTATACAGAGAAGAAAAGAAGCAAAGAGGACCAGCCTCTCACACAATTAGCCCAGCACTATCTACATTTTAGTTTTACAAGTAATGTCTTAGTTTAAATCCAGTTTTCTCAAACAGCTTTTCTAATTTAGTCTTTAGCTCTACGCTGCCATTAATTTTAATTTTGCTTTTTGTTATTTCGTTATGAACATCGCCACTCAATGTATTTAGTTTTCTACAATTCAATTTACTGCACTTTGCCCCAAATTCATCTTTTGAGCTTCTTTTAATTTTTGTTTTATACTTTATCTTTTATTTCATTCTTTACGTTTTCATGCTTTCGCGACAGCATCACGCTTCCACTCTGCAATTTAGTTTTCCTTCCATGCACTCTCTTTCTTCTCCTTTCCTTTATTTTCCTCTTTTATTTTGATCAACAAACTAACATTTTAGCCATAATTGTGGGAAGTCCTTGATGTTCTTTCAGAACAATTATTTATGGACTTTTATGTAGGAATGTACCCCCATTGCTGCGACAATCATCTGATCAGGGTGCATCTCATAATTTATTTAACCGGTGCTCTTTCATCGATTCGTAACCGAGTTCTACGCTTGAAAGTAGTGAAAGTCATCGGGAATCCTCCTTTCTTACTTTGAGCAAAGTGAGTGGCATGCCTTCACAGTCTTATCTACTACGCGGCCAGAAAAGAAAATTTTGGAGACAACAAGTATATTGAAAGGTAAGAACGGCTAAAAAAATGAAAAAAAAAAAAA